TAGTCTACAAACTCTTCACACGAGTCATCCTGAACAGGATTGGCAGAACACTAGACGAAGGACAGCCATGCGAGCAAGCAGGGTTTCGAAGAGGATTCAGCACGATCGATCACATCCACACGGTAACGAAGCTCATCGAAGTATCGCGAGAGTACAAGATGCCGCTATAGATGGTCGCCTATGTCTCACGTTCATGCGACTTGAATGAGAGGCCTTCGACTCCGTTTGAGACGAAGCGGTTAATCGAATGCCCTGGCGCAACCACGGTTCCCTACTTCAGTAACATAGGATCTTCGTGGAGTCTACAGCAACTTCACGACAGATGATCTGCACATTCTGACAAGGAGATCATCAATTGATGTTGAAGAAGAGGGTCCGACAGGCGCGCACCGATCTCGCCCAAGCTCTTCAGCGCCTCTCTCGTCATGCGTCAACTGGAAATGGGAAGACATGGGAGTGAAGATCGACGGTCGGCAACTACACCATCTCCGCTTTGCTGACGACATCGTTTTGATAACACCAAACATCGAGCAAGCGGAACGAATGCTGGCTGATTTCGACTGCGCGTGTGGAAACAATCGGTCTACGGCTGAATCTAACGGAGACGATGTTCATGGGAAAGGTTTGGTATCTGATGCCCCATTCACGCTCAACGGAACGACCATCTCTGAGTTAGCTATGTGTACCTAGGTCGTGAAATCAATATGATGAATGACCTAGCTCCAGAGCTGAGCAGGAGGAAGCGAGCGGCTTGGGGAGCCTTCAAGAACATCGAGGGAGTAGCGAAGAAGACGAAGAACACCAAGCTCCGTGCCCACCTCTTCGATTCCGCGTGTCGCTGTCTTGCCTTGATTACGCCCTCAGAGACTTGGACTCTACGAAAGCAGGATGAGCATGCGGTCGGCGTTATCCAGCGCGCCATCGAAAGGGCGATGCTCGGAGTTTGCCGCTACACGCAAGTGAGAGAGGAATCCGGAGCTCGTATTCCCGCCGACGATCGAAGATCAGAGACGCCGCCGCATTTGCCAAGGTTTCGAAGATCAGGTGGGCCGGACACGTCATGCGTTTCGAGGACGACCGCTGGACCAGAGCGATCACCGACTGGATTCCACGGAATGTCAAGCGAACGCCTGGACGAGCGCCTATGGCAACTGTCAGATTTCTTTCCGTGAAAGCTGCTGAACGAAGCGGTATGAGTGTCATCCGTGTCCTCGAGCAAGAGAGACTCCATTGGGCAGGAGTGCTTGCACGTTGCAGAAACGACAATGGAGGACCGTTACTGGCGCCCGCCTCGAGGAACTGCGAATGATCAACGAGCACAGATGTAAGTAGGTTATTCACATCCGGGTCTTCTGCAGCTTTCCGTCCGCTCTCCTCAACTTAGCATGATCACTTTTGTTCATGTTTGATGCCTAGGATCCTACTTTTGCGATACACGTCTTCTGCGGCCAAGTACGAACCCAATTTTTGGTGATTTCGCATGAAAAGAGGGCTGTTAAACGTAGCAATTAAATCTGTAAAGAATACACTCATAATAATTTTCATTTTTCAACACTGACTCCCATAGCTCCACTTCCACCATCAACTGAAATGTCGAAGCATTGCCCGGCTCTGAGTGACCCTTGAGATTACGACCCCCCCTCCCCAGCGGCCAAGTACGACCCCCCTATGGGTTTCGCACAACGATGCTGTACCCTGTGAGCGCATGTCCCTAAGATCGGGAACATATAGACATCAACAGAAGAACTTTAGGATAAATAAAAACATACCATATCCATAATAAAAAGACTACAACTGTAACAACATTGTAATAGTGTGACGCAACCAAACATGCCTCACCAATCAGCCAGTGCTCGTGGTTTCTATGATATATTTTGGGCACAGATTCTGCACGAACTGAGCGACTCGAGCGCAGCCTCACCATCATCGCCTCATTGCCTCTTCATCCGCGCAAACAGTTTCTGCTGACAGAAATAGCAGTGGAGAGTGAAACTTAGGAACCAAACCTCGGGAAAGACGCGGGAGCTTCGTGATATTGACTACGGCTCATCACGTGAAATGGTCGTGACTGGAGGACACCACGGTGGAACTTCAATGGTGTAATCTCCTAAGTCTCCTATAGCGAGCAGTATCCGGCCTAATTAATCCCAAAAAAATAATTTGACTGCATTCCTTTCGCGCCTTTGCACGAGAAGCCGTCTTTTTCATTTTCACTCTGGCATTTTCACTCTGGCACATCTCTGTTCAGGAACTGCCGTGCTCGTTTTATCCAGCACTGATGTAGACTCATCAAACCAGTCGTACTACGGAGAACAGCACGTAAGTCATATTTCTTACTTCTGCTTGTTTTCTTCACGCATGCTGCACCGGTTTCAACCTACTCATTTATTTTTAGTAATGGTAATCTCACAGCCACACACATGAAAGCTTGAACCAGTGTAGTAGCCTCCCACAAACGTGTACCAAGGAGCTCCTTTTCTCTTACTCGAAACCTGTTTTTTTCGGTGCGGAAATCCCACGAATCCTGCTTTGTAAAAAATCGGCCGCGGATGACGTAATGCAATTTTCAAGAAGTGAAAGTTTATGGTTTCTCACAGCAGGCGCAACCGCAGAGATTAGATGGATATCTGATATGACAGGGCAATTTTTTACGACGTGATGCTGTGACTAGTCGTAATAAAAGTCCAGTTCGTGAAGCATCCTATAACGGTGTTATATCAACACTTAATGCTTCAATACCTCATCTTGATAAGAAGATCATCTACTCTGAGAAGATTTCAAGTTGTACTATAGCAGTTTTGTGGAGAGACCTATTCCCTACAACTAAAAAGAAACTTAAGCCATCATCATGCTATTTTCTGCGACAAGGCCGAAACCGCTGTTTACACAATTCAGTTTAGCATACTGCTGTGCAGAAAGGCGGCATACTCGAGCACAAGAGTTGTGCAAAAAGGCTTTTTAATGCATAGAGACCATTGTAGAAAAAATGCAAAACAGAAAACGCATCAAGGATCCAAACCCTCGACAATGTGACCGCGAGACCTGCAACGTATCCACTCGGCCACGCTGCTTCCCTAAAAAGGCCCGTAACTTTGTTTGGAGGTCAGCAGCAGATATGGAAGACGGTTTCATAATCCCTGTTCAAAGACCCTTCAGTCGATCTACAGTCGTCATCCTTGCACTTGATAGGGGCGTGTCGGCGAGAAGGAGCGTGCACACTGTTTGAAGCCTTCTCAGCCTTTTCGTTGAAACGCGTATGCGACAAAAAGTGATAGAAAACGAGTAACACGAAGGATATAATACAGTAATGTCACTTCCTGGTTCAACGATTGGTGCAGTACGGGTGCGGGCGACCGCGCCGCACGCAGCCGCACTGACATTGACTATCAAGTGCAAGGATGACGACTGTACATCTCATTTCAAATAGCCACTTCGACCTACCATGCTTCCCTTGTGAGAGAGTACAACCTCCTGTTTCATTAGGGTGAGTGGATGGTGGTTCAGCAGGTACCTATGAAAAACGTTAATTAACACACTCCTTGCTTGTTCTGTCAACGCATACAATATATATATATATATATATATATATATATATATATATATATATATATATATATATATATATATATATATATATATATATATATATATATATATATATATATATATATATATATATATATATATATATATATATATATATATATATCGGATTCTTATAGCTAATATCACTTTCCGATCACCCACCAACTAGCCTTTTCCGTCAATACTCCCTGTAACACTATCTTGAAATCGAGTGTCTGCACTTGCTATTGGGACGGCTGGTGCTATGAATTTCGTGACCACAGCTCCGAACACAACATACACACTGGACACCCACACCACAGACATACATGCGGATTATAATAATATAGATGGTAANGTTTGTATGTGTTCTGACCGAAAATTCATAACTTACTTCAAATCAGCCGTAAAGAATTCGATGGATAGGTGATGTAGGAGGTGGGACAGGAACACTATTGATGGGTGACAGGAAGTGATACAGCTGATACGATACGATAGCGGTCCTTAGAAGGGGAGTGTTACCAAATTCATGAAGGTGCGTCACAGCAACGATGGAGCGTTGGTTCCAAGAACTGGTATAGGGACAGAATGGAACATTATTGGTGGGTGGCAGGAAGTGATAACAGCTGATAAGATACCGTAGACAGTCTTAAAGGGAGGGTCACCAAATACATGACTCGCGTCGCAGAAACTGTAGAACGTTGATTGCAAGCAGTGATAAAGGAGGCAGGATGGGAACGGTGAGCTAGAGAGGAAGCCCCCGAATCAATGGGCAAGGGATTATTGAGCCGAGATGTTTCCTTCCCTCAGCGATATTGTTGAAATTGATTCGACCGCTGAACTCTAGGGTTTCACTCAAAAATGTAAAGGGTCTAAAGATGGTAAAAGTCTAAAGACGTTTGTCAAAGAGGAATGATAGGAGCCACCAGCAGACGGGCACGTGAAAGTTGCTTAACGGAATCGCTAGGATATAAGACTTTCTTAAGAGTTTGATATTGTTACCACTGAAACTCTTTCAACCGCTAAGCCGTCCTATTTACAGCGAATGGTGGCTGTTTTTGTAAATATAAGCACCAGACATTGGCAAATGTTCATCTAAAAGGTGAAATATGTTAAAATGGGCCGTATCCCAAGGCCGAGTAATTGGGCCAAGTGTTAGTGGTCGGCACAGAAATCCTGTCAGTGGTCAGTATCATAGATTCAATGCAGTACTGCGCGTCAGCCAAACCGGTAATGCAGATAGTGCACAAATAATTTTGCAATAATAGTATACAAAACTAAAGGGTGTTTTTCTCACGAGAAACTGATTTGGAAGAAGTTGATTTTAATGACGTGGTCATTTCAATCAGTGTCCTCATCAAAATCCGCACCTTTCCTGTCCGATCCCAAACAACCGCAAAAAGTATAAGAAACCTACTTCATTTGCCAAAGATTCGATGGTTATTGTTCAACGAAAAAAAAATGTAGAAAAGGATGTTCAAAACGACACGTGGGAGTTTTTGGCAGAACGGCCTTGCCGTATATATGTCAAAGATTTGTTTAGCAAAGTTTGGAGAGAAGATGCTAGACCTGTACGTAAAAACGCATAAGCGGTTTGGATCTTCACTGTCTTTGTGACCTATCACCTTTCCCTTGTGCGAACAAGCCCTCTTGGAAATCCATTGCTTTCACTTCTACTTTGTTCTTTCAGGTTTACCTCCTAAATTCGAACTCCGGAGAGTCCTTCAAGGTTCAGTTGCCAAAGGCAGGGCCAGTGCATGCCGCCAAATGGAATCCTGTTGGAAAAGACTTTTGCGTTTGCTATGGCTTTATGCCAGCTGTGGTACGGTATGCTGTTTTCCTTCTTTTTTTCCCCTTTTTGCCTGATATGAATTTCAGGTTAGCATATACAATCTTCGCGGAGACGAAATTTTCCACACAGATGAAGGCCCACGCAATGATATTTTCTACAATGTGTTTGGTAATATTTTGCTGACTTGCGGTTTTGGTAATTTAGGCAAAGGGAAAATGGAGTTCTGGGATGTGGAGAAAATGAAACAAATTGTTGCTGTGAGTCACTTGGTTTCTCTTGCTGTGATGCATGGTGAGTTACTGCATTTTTGGTTCACTATTTTAGATTGAAGTACCCAACACTACATTATTCGAGTGGGCTCCGGATGGGCAACACTTCCTCACCGCCACCACCACACCTCGCCTCAGAATAGATAACGGCTTTAGGTAAACTTTCTTCCCCTCACTCTGATACTCAGTATACTTAACCTGGCAATGTCTTTCTGTTCCGTTGTTATCATAGAAACGTTCGTTCACTATGTTCGTGATGGATATTCATTTATTTATTGATTTAATGCGCTAGGGTGCGCTACTTCAAGCTGAGCGAAGTCACAAGTCAAGACAAATCCACCAAATCAGAAGCCAAGATGAAACAAAATGAACAGAACAAAAAGGAACAAAAACAAACATGCCATAAGTCCACTATGGAACAAGGATAGACCACTTCTCTAACCTAGCGGCTGCCCATGAGTATACCACTTGGATACAGCTCACCAGGGAAGGTCAACAGGCCGCCATGGCCATTCATGATGGGACGCATATCGATGTGTACGTCTCGGGACGCTGAACTCAAATCTGCTTTATTTAGCGAACGATTTAATTTAGCGAACGATTCTCTAGGAGGAATGAGGGGGGGGAGGCTTCCAGCATGGCAGTGGTCGCTTGTCGTCTGTGGTAGTTAAGTTCAAGACCGTCGCAAGTGGTCGACGGTGTAGTGGATAGGCAAGTTGCTTCATAGGTGGGAGGTCATGGGTTCGATTCCTTGACAGGTCGCACTTTTGCATTTTTTCGGAACATCTTCTGCGAGTCGACAAAGTATTTCTATTTTGTTATCCTGTCAACTTGCCCTTATTTGCAGCAGGAAAGAATCTAATGCCGGTAGCTGTGCTTCTCTGTCAAGACATTCGCTATAAAACCGCATAACATAATAACACTTCTGATTGTAGATTCGTGGACCTCCTCGAAAGACCACGAGTTTACTCAATTAGCTTTGCCACCTGAAAAGCCTTGAAAGTTTTCAATAAGCGCCAGGTGCTAAACCCTTGATTCAGCTTCCGAGCGGATGCTTCCTCTTGCCGTTTAAGTCGATGTGTAAGGGTTTCACTTCCTACGTAGCTGTTCACAATATCAATTTCTCTATATCAAGACTCTACTCTCCGTCGTCCCTCTTTAATTCATTTCACTTTTGCTCATCTCGATTGAGAAACTTGTTGTCTCATTCCTGGTGGGAGCGGGATACTTTGGTACAAATCCTGGCGAATTTGTAGCACCTGTTCAGTAGTGCTTTCCTTGATGAAACACTGTGACTACACCGGTGGTGGAAAGTTTCTCATCATTCGTTGTGGTAAACGCGAGAAGCTGTTTCGGTTCGAGTTTCTTGGAGGAACCCCACATGTACTCTTGAATAGTTCACTCATTCATGCACTACGTGTAATATTATGGTAAATGTCTTGAAAGAGAAGCACAGCTACCGCCGTTTCACTTTCCTGCTACAAATAAGGGCAAGTTGACAGAATAACAAAATAGAAATACTTCGTCGACTCACAGAAGATGTTCCGAAAAAATGCAAAAGTCCGGTCTTGTGAAGGGCTCGAATCTATGACTTCGCACCTACGAAGCAATTTACCTATCCACTCCACCACCGACCACTTGCAACGGCCTGTTCTCGAACTTAACTTGAACTACCACAGACGACAAGCGGCCACTGCTATACTAGACCCGCACCAATAACTCCTAGAGAGTCGTTCAGGCAAATTTTGAAAGCAGATTTGAGTTCAGCGTCCCGAGACGTACACGTCGATATGCATCCCATCTTGAATGGCCATGGCGACCTGTTGACCTTCCCTGGTCAGTAGCTGCAGCGAGGTGAAAGTCAATGGAGTTTTTCAGCGGCCCATTGGGTATTTGGTCTAAGTCCCTCGTGAGTCATCGACGTCAATCAGGGTACAGCATCGTTGTGTGAAACCCATAGGGGGGGTCATACGCGGCTGGGAAGGGGTGGGGGTCGTAAACGCAGGGTCGGTGAGCACCAAACAGCACAAAAAGGTCATCGCTAAGCTTTGATGGAGCGGACGGGAAGCAGCAAGGACCCGAATGTAAGGAAGAGAACAAAATATCAAAACACTTAGCAATATCAGCAGTCAGCATGAATTTTAAGTACGCAAATGAGGTCTGTTACCTTTCTGGCGAAGGATACGGCATGAAAGTCCTGTATTCGTGCAAGACAATGCACCAATCCATGTCAGCCGGAGCACTCAGCGTGGTTCAGCCGTCATCAAATCACTCTTTTGCCCTGGCCAGCGAATAGCCCAGACCTAAACCCTATCGAGAATGTTTGGGGCTTCATGGTACGCAGGATATACGCGCACAATGCGCGATTCGAAAATGTCCCTTCGCTCAAGGAGGCTATCATTGATGTATGGCACTATGTCGACAAAAGTGGATTAGGGTCAGCAAAGCGTCGCTGATTGGGAAATTAGGGGTATACTTGTTGTGAGCGAAGCTTGGTCCGAAGGCAACAGATGAAAGGATATGTAAAACGAACTCAAGAGACGGGGAAAAAGTAGATTAAGATCAGCAAAAGGTCGTCGGTAAGAAGTGTGAGCACACATGGTGTGGGCGGGGCCAGCCCGAGGTGGGCGGAGACAGACAAGAGTTCTGAAACGGTTCCAGAGCACTCAAGAGACGGGAAGAAAGTAGATCAAGGTCAGCAAAGGTCGCCGGTAAGAAATGTGGGGCACACATGTTGTGGGCGGGGCCAGCCCGAGGTGGGCGGAGACAGACAAAGTTCTGTAAAACATGGAAGTGGATGGTCAGGAGGGATCACCGGTTGATGCGGCACACAGCCGTTGTAGGCGGAGCGTAGAGGCTTTGAGGCGGGAGGAGCTGAACGGACGAATCTGTAAAGTGGTTCCAAAACAGACTCCAGGCACCGGCAAAGGGCGAGCAAAAATGTGCAGGAGCTCCGCTATTGAAGCGAGATTTACGCGCCCATTCTGTGCGGAGCTGTGTCGATGTTGTGGGCGGGCGAAGGTCAAAAATTCACGAATTAGTTGCAGAGCAGCATAGGCACCGGGGACAGGTGGATTGAGGTCCACAAGGGGTCAGCGGACGAAGTGGAGGAGACATCTCAAAAATGGGCGGACTGCTTTCGAGATGGGCAGGCTCTTGCTGCTGCTTCTGCTCAGGAAAAACTTTCAGAGACGAGAAACATATAGCGAGAGTTCAGCATGTCTGTGGTGTGTTGAGACCCGCCCACAGTGGGTGGAGCGTGTTCTCAAGCACGGGGTCCCTACTTTCACTGCGTTTTAGTGCATAGGCCGCCACACTCTTGAACACCTGTTGTCACAGGTACATTTGATACCAGTCGTCGCTGGCTGACGCCGACGCGACTCCTTTTCTAACAGGGCCAGGCTTTGCCGATTTTGAATGCTCAACTAATACCGGGTTTCTCTCTCATCTACAAACTTGATCAACCCTGCTTACCACCATTTCATAGACGGTCATAGTGTCGAAAATAGCAAGTATGATGTTATTGCTCAAGCAGCGTTGACTATGTGTACAGGTGAATTGAATGCCGGATAATTGTTGAGTATCTAGTGTGAAGGAGTAACTGATTTATTGTATTTGCGATGGCTGAGAAAAAAAGAATTTGCATCGATAATGTGAGTACTAATACGCTCGGTTGTCCGTTTGAGTTTTTTAGCGAGTTTTGTTCGATATAAATATTTGGGATGAAAGAAGGAGGAGCTGTGGAATATTGCTGCATAGATCCCGTTATCAGTAATAACCATTTGTCTTGTCCAGATGTTGTCGGCTGCAGAATTATCGGCCGTTCTATGTATCAGTTTCGGTTTTCGATTACTGTATTGGATGTGTTCCCTGTTCGGCAAATTACTCGCGAACAGCTTTTGCTTTGTAGTGTCTGGCAGCATCACCGAACAGTATAGACTTTTAGGAAGTTTTTTGAGCAATCACTCTCTGATCTCCAGTTCCTCGGTAGCTTCATGGCATTCTCCGTAGTCGGCATTTCATGGAGGAGGTGAGACGTGAGACCGTGCTGCTCCTCTGAAATCAACGGTATCGACAGCAACCTCCTTACGCCAGGGTTCGTTTCCCTGGGGGCACCCGATAATAAATCATCCAAAAGGAAGCAGTATCGGCGATTGTCATTCGATGGCTATATGTCAAAAGTGATCTATGTCTCAGTCAAAGCCAGAGTTCTGTAAAACACTTCTTTGCTCTACCTGCACTCTCAGGAAGCACAGAACATTGCTCCAACGAGCAAGAACCGTTGTCTTTTAGGTTGAAGGCCAAATCATGGAACACATTGACCTGCTTTATGGATAGGCCGTAATAGTCTCCTAAAATA